CAGAAATTCACGGAATTCTCGAAAATGTAGTTGTCCGGAGAATGCACATATGTTACCTTTTTCTCTTTGATAATCTGGGAATCATTAAATTGTTAGTCGTAATATTTCGGTAGCATCGTTGTTGCATCTGGCACGATCAAATACGATTTATGTCAGAGATAATCAATGTCAAAGTCGTCAAGCGATTCCATCTTAGGCACGCATTTTTTGGGCTTCAGGAGATTTGTGTTTTATGTTTGAAATTTGCTGGAGTATATCATGTCTTGCCTTCATTACTTATCAGTCCCATACGAAAATAAAATCCACTGTGTATTTGTTACATGTGGACACTTGTGTTGTTGCTAATAAATAGTTTGAAGAAGGCTATAGTAACTTGGTAATAATCCATTTTTTTGCTGGTCGAAGATATTCTAAAAATACGTTAAATATGGAGTTAGGAAAAAACACTGCGCTTTCATTGATACTTCCATCATTGTAGAAAATGTTTCAATTTCAGTTAAGTGAAGATGAGAAGGATGAACGTGCAATTCTGGAGATGGATTACATGCGTCATCTTAATAAGTTAGCAGTTATGGATACACGTTGGATCGTGGAAAGTATCCGGAAACAAGAAAATGCTTTACAGAAGCTTAAGGTTTTATTCACTTTATATGCTACTCTTGACATACGTCGGTCACTTCCAACAAGCACCAAAACACACACAAATAACTTACATTACTCGACGATTCTTAATAGTGACCTTAGGAGGATGGATTATGAGGCGGCGTGGTGTTCTATCCATTTTTCGGAATGACTTTTATGCCTTACCTTTGATTCCAGAAACTTGTGCTTCAGACAAGCCATTTAACCTTAAAAACTCTCTTATATTTCTGTGTCTCTTATATTTCTGTGACTTGTAGTCAAATTGCATATCGAAAAGTTGGTTGTATTTGCAATAACAGTTCCGGACAGCTGGATTTTTGCGGCTCTTCATTAGATGGTTCTCAACAACCTTATGGTCATTTTATGACAAATAGTATTTCATAACTACGTTTCCAAAAATCGACAGTATAGAATTTTAGATGCTATCACCAGAATTGTACAAAGCTGCTCTCGAACCGGACGAATGTTTTTTGCAAAGCTTCACCTACCAAGGCCCAACACTGACGCCTCCATTGGAATTATATGACCCACCTGACGGGCATTATATCGATGTTAGCAAAAAATGGTTGTGTTAAGTTTCTGTAAAATTCTTTTTTCTGCAGTTTGAGTAATAAGCATTAGGTTATTGAATGACATGCAGCATGACTTCGTTGTAACCCATTCTTCCGTAAAATATGCCTTTCAGTTAGATAATCTGTTAAAAGCAGATTGTTTTGGTTTTTGTAAACTTTACTGTAAATTGTCATCAAAAAAATTTCTACACTAACGAATTTACTTCCTTTTTTTTTACTTCTTTTTTTTACCCTCGTTGTCTATATTGCTTGCTGTAGGGCTGTTGCACTTTTTTTTAACATTGGGTGACGTTATGATTAACTACTAATTGAATATATTTTTGAGCCGGAATCTGATCTCTATCTTCACCTTAATTTAATGTTCCATAAAATGTTCTCTGAAAGCAACAAACCGATAAATCTCTGAATTTTCAACATTGTTTCACATTGTGGTTACTATTATCGCGAAAAGATTGCTCTCCTTGACAAGTTTATATTAATCCATTCCATCAGTTGTGAAATTTTATGTTGCGTATGCTGTGATTAAAAATTTATAAATCATTCTTTAGCAAAATTGTGCAGCACAATATAAAACACATTTAATGTTCCCGATGTCATTTTTAGATGTTTCCAAGCTCATGGATGGTCGCTTAAAGCAAATTAGCGATCTCTATATTATCAATTCATCAAAAATTACACTTAGTAAAGATAAAGTCGGAACGGGAAACTTCGCTGATGTATATAGAGGTACTGCATTATCTATCTCGCCTTTTCAACTGTGACTGGTGAATGTTACAATGCAGGTGACGGAAAGTTTAACAATCAAAATTTTTGTATCTTGCATTAAAATTTTCATTCTTTGCTAAATCTGATTTACTGGAACATACTTTGTGTTTGGCTTAGAGATACTTCATAGAGCCTCAAATTTTAATATAAACAATCGTCGTGAATAGATTTAAAATGATTTACTAGGAACATACCGGAGAGGCAAAGAGAAAGTATTGGTGGCAGTGAAAATCGTTCGAGTTGGTGGTGGCAATATGGTATTCTTGTTATCCCTAAAGTTTCTTGTTACCTCTCAAGATTCAAGATCCTTGATAAAAATTAAAGACTCCACTCTATCTTCTAATTTTAATGGAACCGTCATTTGTCCATACCTTGGGATTTTGGCGCCAGTTATTAACATTGAATATTGGGGCACTACTCTCATTTTGTATATGTGGGATTTAAACAACTACCACTTAACTAATGAAAATTTACGTAGAAGTACAGATAATGCTTCACTTAATTCAGTCACTTATACGGTAAGATTTGAAAATTGTCTTATCTACCTAAATCATACTATTTGTGTTCTCATTCTTTGTACTGAAATTAAAGTACATCTGTTTATACTGCAGGATACCGAATTACGCTGCTTATCGGAATTGACGAACGAAGCAATAATCATGTCGTTGCATCATCATCGATGTGTTATTGAATTCTATGGTGTCTCATCCGATAAGGTTTTCACAGAATTTTTTGGAAGCTATTTCATGATTATATGAAGGATTCATGAACAAGCAAGAGCACTGAATGCTTCTTGGGTAGAATTTCAATCAAAATTTGCCGTTTGAGAAGCTCTCATTAAAGCAGTCTTCATTCGTTTCTTTTTTAGATTCCAATGATTTTGATGGAGTATTGTCCGGGTGGTTCGTTGGATTTACATCTGCAGAAATTTAAAGAGCAGATTTCAACTGCAGGTATAATTCTTTCAAATAGTGAAGTGGAAAGTATAGTGAAGTAGAGCAGATTAAATTATTATTCCTTGATTAACTTACTGTATTCTCTCTATCATATGACGAAGATTGATGATATTCTAGGCTTACTTGTTTTACCTTACTTTTTTTCGTGTTTTTTTTTCAAAATAACATTTTGTACTCCCAAACTAATTAAAGAGAATTTTTATGTTTTCTCTTTTTATCCTCGACAAATGATAAAGGTTCTCTTTAGGGGACAACCATTAAGACACCAATTTATCGTTTACAAGCATTTCAGAAAGAGTTGCATATATGTTTCAAATCTCTGACGGTATGCGTTATTTGGAACGGAAGAAATGTGTTCATCGAGATTTGGCAACACGAAATGTGCTTATCTCAAGTACAGGATGCCTGAAAATCAGTGATTTCGGATTAAGCTTTAGTCCTGCTATTCAAATACCGAAGCAGTTAACTCATACACATGTGAGAAGTTAACTGCCCCTAAATTTCCAGAATTCAGAATTATATAGTTCTACTTAGTTTCGTACGGTTTGTAATAATTTTACGATTCTATGTTTTTCATATTTTCAGAATATTTTTGTTGGTAATTTTTCAGATTCCAATACGTTGGATGGCTCCAGAAACATTAACTCGTACACCGGTTTATTCATCAAAATCGGATATTTGGTCATTTGGTATTGTAGTGTTTGAAGTAAGCGAAATTCGCAAGTAGTATTAATGCGAAATCCTATAATAAAGGGAGATGAGGACGGGAGGCGTTTATCAGTGCAATTTTCTAACCTGTTGTATTACTTTTTGCTCAGATATTTAACTGTGGTGGAAAACCGTGGCCAGAGAAACCGGTAAAATGGATTGCAACAAAGATTCGAAAAGGTGTAACACCTGAAATGCCACGACGAATGCCACGTCTAATTAGAGAAATAGCTAATGCTTGCTTCCAATTTGAACCAGACAAAAGGCCTACATTCAAACAGGTTCTTGCAATTAATCACTAGTAACAAGTAGGCGACAATTAGAGTGTTCGAGAGGAATCCTCGGGAAAGAAGCGAAAGAAGCGGGTCTCAAGTATTAATTTTAAGAAGAGATGGGTATTCTAGAAAAAATAAATGAATATTCTGAAAAAAAGATTAGTAGATAAGAGTAAAGTTGGGATTCGAATAAGAAATTTTAAACGACTCTATTACTCTTAGAATTATTTCAAACGAAAATCAGCAATTTGAAAGACTTAGACGATTTTAGATGTTCTATCAAAGCTTTTTTCTTTCATTATAACTACCAGTGATGATCAAGTAGGTAAGTATTACAGGTGAACGGGTGGATTCTGTTGGTACAAGGCATACGTTTTCCACCACTACCTCCCTCTACACTGTCAGTGGCACATTTGAAAAATGTTAAAGTAAACATTTCTTCACACTTTGTTACTACCTTTCGTTTTCGCATAACTCGATTAATTAACTAATTAACTGATTGTAGTGATTTAATTTAGAATTGTTCCTTTCATTTTTTATTCCATGATTAATAGAAGATTCTGCTCTGGAAGAATTTCATTTTTATCTGGAAATTTAGTTAGAAGAAAACGAATTTCATTATTTTTTATCTGTTCTGGAAGAATTTCATTTTTATCTGAAAATGTAGCAATTAATTGCTGATTTTTCCTAAAAAAAAGGTGCATACGTTGCTTAAGGAAATGTCTAAGTGACTGAGGTCGATTCTGTTCCAAAGTCTTGTAGTAGGGATAAATTTTTGAAAAGTTAATGGTAAGATACTTCAATTTTAAGCAAATTGAATTATGATCAATGTGATGAGATAAACAAATAAAAAGGATTGCTAATGAATTACAAAAAAAAGTACCAAATCAATTCTAATTTTTAAAATTGATCGAATCTTTGAACTTAATGCATTATAGCTATCATAAAATTTATTATTAAGATTGCTATGACTATTTCTAATATGAATAACACTACCGTAATTTCGATCCAATGGTCACTAGTTACCATTACTATAATTACTATCTACTACTATTTACATAATGATCGTTTCTTACTCATATTTATAGTTGAAAATATAAAATTCTGAAAATATAAAATTCTCCACTGCAGCCAGTAAAATTCATTGAAAAAGATCCAGAAGCAATTGCGATAGAATTAGATGATGTGAAAAGCAACGAGCAACGGCATGATAATGATAACTGTGTAAGTAAATCAAAATAAACGTATTCTAAGCATACTTCTAGTCAGACCTTTCTTCCATTATTGGACTTTTCATCAATGTAATTACTGCCAATCAATTTAAGGAATCAAGAACGATACAGTTGCCTGAAGTAAAAAGGATTATTCCTACAGAGAATAAAAATACAGTAACCGAGGATCAAGAGAAGTATGCCATTCAGACTTTCACCGCACTAATATTTGGAGTTAATGATATTTTTTGGAGCATTTTTACAAAACTTGAATTTCATCCGAAGTTCCACCTGAAATGAAAAAGAAAATGTAAGGAATGCCAATTAAAAATTCAGTCAGAAACTAGATCTCTAATTGACATCTCTTACATTTTATTTTCCATTAAAGTTTAAAGTTAAAATTCTAGAAAATAAAAAAATGCTTGGATGGATAAGCGAAAGAAATTTTCATTCTAGTACGCATTTTTAAAATTTAATTCTCGAAAATTACAGCCTGCGAACACAAAGACAAGAAGGTACTCCTCATCTCTTATTTCCACTTCGAATTGTTGCAATCTTGCATTAATTATGGGAGTAACTTTACTTTCATCATCATCTATCAGATTATTCTTATCACACTTAACATTTTCACCCTGTAAAATTTTCAAATTTGGCCCGAAATTAAAATGGAAATGAATAGAGAGCGGTAGTAGTATATCGTTTAAATGATGATAAACTAAGAGAAAACCTTATTTCTAGCAGGATCGAAGCAGTTGGCAGTCACGGAATCAGATGATGATGATGATGAATGTTCTAGAGATGGCAAAAAGGGATTAGGGGGAAGGCATAGCAAAGTAATTTGTCCTTAAAATTTATGAAAGAGCCAATGCAAGAATTGAAAAACAAAATAATTACACTGGACAAATCTTAGGGACCAAATTCTAAACACACACTTCGAGGCAAATTGAATTCCTAGAACCTAGTTTTTCAAAAATGGAAGAAAAACTTAAATTTTTCTTTAGGGTTTAGCGTTATTTTTTAAAATGAAATTACTTTGATTGAAATAAATTTTCTCGATTTTTGCTCTAGACTTGTTTTGTTTTGTTTCAGGGTCTCGGTCGAAATCAGTAACACGCATTTTAGGTTCCAGAGAACTGTTTGTCCTTTGGATACATTCTCATTTATTGTCATCCTATAAATTTGTTATTATGAACGATACTTTGTGATACACTAGTACATTTCTCCATACAATATCAGCATGTAATATCATCGTGGTGCAGCAATTTGTGAATTGGAAGAAATTTTTAGTTGCCAATTCCTCCTTTTTCCTGTAAAATTTGATTAAGCTCCCTATGATGAAAGTAGGGTGAATATTTTGATATTATCGAAAGATAACGACAGGTATTCATGAACAGAGCATTTCTTCGGATCATTCAGTGATCTAAATAGCGATAAGGTATCTAACAGGAATTCAATGGGATGTTTCTACAGTTAATATCATGAATGTTTTTTTTTAGAATGCTTAGTCGAGGAAATGATTATACTCAAGAGTCAAGGTGTCGTTCATTAATGAGCAAAACCTTAGAAACACCAGCTGTTTGTGACAATTTTTTCTAAAACAATTTCTTTATTGCCAGCAGATATATTTCCGCACTATGATCACGACTAGCTTTGGGTTTCACGGTATACACCTTCCCAAACTCTCTCTTAAGACGCTCAATAAATTCTTCTCGCCTTGGTCCATCCCATATTTTGCACAGAAACGTTCCATTTCTCACTAGAGGAATTACTGACTTTTTGACACTAAGTTCCAATACTATTCCACAAAGTGATAAAATTCGTTCATGGTCAATTCCTCTATCACCTACAACATTTTTAAAATAAACATGAAAGTAATTAATCTATATTACGGAACGGAATGTGACTGGATAAAAAGAATCTTTTACATCGCCTATGCCATTGGTACCACAAATGTTTAACATCTTTTGTCATTGCTCAGTTCATATACCTCTTCAGCTGTGCTCAGTAGTTAAAAAGAAACAAACTGAACAAATCAAAAATGAAGTTAACTGGAATCATATTCACTACTACTATTAGGAAGTGCCTTGCCCTTCAGAACACCAATTAAAGTTAAACCTTATTTAATTTACTCGCTCGCAAAACTCATGTGTAATTGGCGCCAAATCTATATGACCGACATGAAATAATGCTTTCCCAGCTTGGTTGATGATGCTGACATATTTTTGCGCTACTTCCTCGTCATCTAGGTACTGCATTCTCACACTTGTAATAAATGTGAATTATGGAAATGAAGAAGCATTCCGCAAGGAAGTAGGAATTGAAATGAACAAAGCATATTAGTATTTTTTTTCCTATGTTAATGATAAAAGATTTATTACCGGTAGGGTTTGGAGCCATATCACTGATGACAACATCAACAGATCTTCCGTTTAAAAGTTGCTTTATGTTTTCATGTGTTTTTTGAGCAGTGATATCGGACAAGTCCAAGAAATTAACACCCGAAACTGGCATTATCGGCTGAAAAAAATATTTCTGTGCCAATCACCTCATGTATGAGTTCTCGTCCGATTTACAGCCGTGATATAAAAAAAAAAAGCTGAATACCTGTAAATCGATGCCCAAAACAAAGGCATCACCATATACGTTTGGTTGTACAATATCAGCAACTACTTGACACCACGATCCAGGAGCCGCTCCAACATCAACAACTACCATACCTATATATAGCTGAGTAAATCAAAAAAAAAGAGAAAGAAAATTGTCGAGACAGGAAAGCCTAACGAGCCATTTCCTCTCTTTTCTTCCAGTTGATACATTTCATTTTGCCAATTATCATAAAGAACATTTAAAGTAAAACTCGCCAGGCTCAATAATTTTATACTTTTCATTGATTTCCAACAGTTTATAGGCGCTTCGAGCACGATAAGAATGTTCACGGGCTTTCCTGGAGAATTCATCAGAGCACTGCTTTCGTAGGTATTTCAAAGTTGCTGTCGATTTCTTGCTCTTGGAGAAATAACGCACTGGAAGCCGAAATGTGATTAGTCTTGCCGTAAGTTTGGCATTGAAAAACATTATTGCTTCTCTCAACAACACATCTTCACCTGAATTACATGGGGACGCAATTAAACTTATAAGTACTTATATTGAAGACTTGAAGACCTATTCTGCATGATCACTACTGCATATAGTCAATCAGTAGAACACATCTCTCACATAAGAACTTTCGAATGGACTAATGTCTTAAGTCAAAAAACTCCAATCCATTACCCTACAGAAACAAGAGTTCGTACTCGCAAAGCATAACCCCAAATATTAGTATCCTTTGTTATATCGCCGTCTGTTGTGACAGCAGAAATACTAATAATATTAGTTCCTGGATAAATATCCATTAAAACATCGACTACTCCAAGAATACTTGTTTGGGAGGAAGGAATTTAATAATGACGAAAAAACAAGAGAAAATTATGCTTGGTTTTATCTAGCTATTATGAATAACAAACCGACATTGCTCTCCGAAATGTTTTAACCAATTGAAAATCAAGTATGAAATATCAAAGCTCCTGGTTAATTTTACAATGCAAGCTTTGGGTTCTATCTCCACTTTGGCCACAACTGCAAGACTGCTAATGCGACAAGTTTTTATAAAATTCTGTTTTGTAAACAGAAATAAATACAAAATATTTGAACATCTTTAAGTTTATAAGAAATATAGGGATATCAGGAATATTTAACAGAATATCAGGTTTTGCATGAAAACTTGATCATGCAACTAACTTAGATTTTTTGAGGCTCCAAACAATTTGGGAAAGAAATACAAGCCCCACATAAACAAATAACTCCAACATTATATGAGACAAAACATTTCTAGAAATCTTTCGGTGTCAAGCACTGATTAACGGCTCGCAGCAGATCAGGATTTTCAAGTGCAGCCGCCACTCGTTCTTTGTCCGCCAACTGCTTGTTTATTGCATCTGCGGACATATGAGTATCGGGTGCTATCCTCACTATTATCTGCAACAATTACACCCGTAAATCTCGTACTATCAAGTAGCGCGTTTGCTTTTGTAGAAATTTACTCGAAAACATTACTTGGAAATTCTTCAGTTTTCACGTTCTACATGTTCAAATTTACATGGCAATTACTTTTTTAAAATGTAGGCAACTTTTGTTAAAGAAACGTAAGTGAAGGTTGATGTAAATAGAAAGATCAAACTTTCGGAAATTATTTTACCTTCACACTAGGATGCACAGACCGCTGTAATTTTGTTCGTATCGTTAGACCAATCAGTGTTGCCATTGAACAGTGCGGTATTGTAGGAACGTATTCGACCTGATAAAAACGCTGTCAGTTGACATAGTATTAAAAGAATAAAAATGTGAACATTCTAATACTTGAATAAAACTACTAGCATTAAAGAAATTGTGCGAAGAACCCTATGATTACATCAACAATCGTTTCGTCATCATTTTTGTCAACCATAATGAGTTCTTCCTGAACGACATTCAATTGTTCAAGCGTAAGAGGATGTTCCGGATCATTAATATCCCTGGAACAACATGATTCATCACAATAGCAAGAAGATGGTGGCAAATATTTTTACCAACACAAATTATAATTTAGCCACCAATCAAATTTACAAAAACTAGATAACAATATAGACTTCAAATGCATTCAGTGCGATCAAACTCATCCAGTTTGCAACATTTCTAATGATAACGGACCGAGTACAAAGTAGTTCTAGTTTACAAGTTGAATATCTCCGATGTCAGCTTACCTGAGATTTCTAGAAAAAGATCCTGACAAAACATAGCATCATGAAGTCGCAGTGGCAATAAATTTTGTGAAAGGTCATGAGGAAAAAAAGCAAATATGTAACCTTATGTAGTCGAAGATTTCCTGCGCATCAATTGGATCAATAATGTTTGGATTCAACTCTGAATCAGACACCTTTTTACTACGAGCTTTCGTAGTATACACTGTTGGTGTTGCATTTTCTAACTTACTGGGTACCATTCAAACTTTGTTTTATTCGCCGACTAACTTGTTCGGATTGTCATATGTATTCTGAAAAATCTATTCATCTATTCCTTTCATAACACAAATGCAAACAGCTGTCCTTCCAAAACCGACAAATTCATTAGTTTAATATCCTTCCAAAACCAACAAATTCATTAGTTTAATACCGAGTAATTAAGCAAGAGTGTGAAGTATCCTATGAATGGATACAGATGGATAATAGTTTACATTAAAGTCAACATCTCAGGAGTAAAAAAGTTTCTCAGGAGTAAAAAATCCGACCGCCTGTCTTGATATTCTTAACATGACAAATGTAATGAAAATTTTAAAAAGTTGAAAAGCTTGAGCAGAAAACAATTGGACAATGGAAAGAGTAATGAGTCATGGAAAAGGATACATCCTTGATTGATAGATAATTAGAAGTCAGTTACTTTGCTTGAAATTTACTTAATTCTTCTGGTATTCTATTTGATTTCAGCTGTTTCTCATTCTGAACTGTCTTAACACTCCTTTAAAAACTTAAAAACAACAGGCTTAAATTCAAAAAACTAAAATGCAATTTGTTCTTGACCAATAAATTAAATAACAAGAAAGAGACTGAACTAAGCTGTGGGAGATTATAGGAAAGCAGCCCCGAGGGAAACACAGCAACCAAACTACTCCGCGGAAAATCCCGCAACGGAAGTACCGTCTAAAATAATTAGCCGGACCGATATGCAAACCGTGGTCCCATCTGCCAATTTTTCCCCTTGAGTATCATTTCCAGGATGCGAAGCTATGCACTGTCATCCTGAAAAGGAATTGACTCGTTCAGGATTGATATTTGGGTCCAGGCATGACAGGAAATATGATTTAATGAAGATTTCAGATTAGGAGGAAGGTGAAGAAAATATGAAGATAATTGTGTGTTGCATTAAAGTTAAAACCGAAATTACATTTCATGAAGTATGAAAGGAAATAATTATGTAAATAGCCTAAACTGGCATAAATTGAAGATTTTGGTTAAGAAAGCTACTCCGTTCGATATGCTATAAATATACTTCTCTTGAGATTACAGCTGAAAAGTAAATCCCATAAAGAAATAGGATTACCCACCACTTTTTATCAATTACATCTCTTCTAATGAAGTCAATCAAATTAACTTCAGCTTACTTATCATTATTTCACATGCAGCACTGAACACTAACAGAAATGACTGGTAGCTTATTAATTATAAGGATAAGCATAGCGCGCATCAATCCAGTTTATTTGAGTTCAGTCTTAATAGTACAAGCTTAGTTTAGCTAAAACGATTCTTCCCGCTTCCTAATCTCATCATCAATAAGATGCTCAATTCACCATACGGTACACGTATACCAGACGTCTGTATGCATAATATTATTTTTTATTCACATAACTGTAACTGTTTCCAACAATATTCTTTGGGAAATTAAATGGCAGTGAGGGAATTACACCTTGAAGAAGCATTGATATGAGCAGTAACAGCAACATTTATCAATCTTTCAATCATTCATTCGTTCAATTCCAGAACTTCATCTTTTCATATTTGTATTGCAAATTCATCTCTCATTTTCTCCTTTAACGCGCATTCTGCAAGTAATGTAAGCTAAGCTATGTGATCTCATCTATGAGCTTATTCAATTCGAGCTGTTCACCTTAAATCAACACATTCACCTTTTTAAAGCATAATCTTAGAAGAATTCATGGAAATCTATAAAAATGTAGTAATCCTTTTCTCATTTTTATCGCGTTGCTTCTATTAAACGTATGCCTTTATTTCTAAGTAATAGTTTCATGATGTGTTTTGAAAGACTGAACGAAGCTTCAAACTATAAGTATTCGAGCTAATACTGCTTATCATTCATCATCTGTGCTTCTTTTCTAATCAGTCATAGGACATCCACTGAGCATAGGAGCAATATATCTCGAATAATTCAACAAACAAAAATCCAAAAATATGTACAAAACCATAACAGAATTTCAAACTGAAAGACCATTTCAACAAAAAAAAATGTAAAAATATTAGCAAAAAGAGTGAAATCCGATTGATTATGCAAATTATTGAACAGCTAAAAGAGGCAGTGGATTGGGTTCACGATATCTGATATAAAAATAGCAATAACATAAATGAAATGCGAGGAATGCTTAAGAAAAAATCAGTGTGTTTGAGGCGAGAAATTGAAACTGTCATTCAGAATAATCCCAGAAGAACATTTACTAGAAAAGCAACTCCTTTACAATGAACTCTTACATTATTGAAAAAAGCAGCTGATAGCAATAATCAACTGAAGTTCATAGTTGCCACTGTTATTCTAATCACATTGATTGTTCGAAAGTTTTCCAAAAATTCCAGCCCGACGTTCTCTACGTGATTTTAAAACTTATATTTATCTTCAGCTCCAACTCTCTTTAACTCATTTTTTTTTATACCAGAGTATTTTCTTTATAAAAGCAGGTAATTACAAAAGAACCATTCTAAAGCTGAATATTTGAAAAGTTACCACTGAAATTGTTTGCACGAGAGGGTAGTTACATCTCAACTTGATTACTTCTTTCTAGAATTGCCAAAGAGAGATTAAGATCATGAAAAGTCATGAAAAGAGGTAGGAGATACTAAAGACAGATATAAATATAAAAGACTGTACTAAAATGTATTAAAATACATTCAGTTAACAAATTTTCGGAATGAATTAAAACAAACTTTATATAAGAGAGATCAGTCATACCTCACCGTTCCGAACTACCTATGGTAAGCAGCAGTATTTCATACATTTTAAGTTCTTCAATTACTTACAATTTAACCAAAAGTTTTTGAAGGTTATAAGCTCTTGAATTCTTTCAAAAAAGAAATTAAGTTAAGGAGAATCATATCGAAATACTGCCGAATTAACAGCAAAGAATACAGTTCACTAAAGGTCACACTTCCAACCTGAATGAGTCATTGAACAATGAATGTTGACTTTGACCGTGAGGATGACCATGTCTAATGGTCCTTTCGCTCATTTCCATCTCAGAAAGAGACTGACATTCCTGGAATAGGGTACTATGCCCATTTAGCATTGCTTCATTTGAGAAGCAAGCTGAAGTACTACTATCCAATCTTTCGTCATCTGTGTTTCGGTCTTTGGTCTGAAGCGATCGCGAAAAGCTCGGGTCTAAGCCGTTCGGTAACGACATGCTGTAATTATATGACTTTATATTTTGGTGATTAATTTAAAATATTCGGCCGGTCAAATTTTAAGGAATACAGAGTCTTTGATTCTACATTTTCTTTGATATTTCAAAAAAGTATTGATACTTTGCCTCCTGAGGTCCATAACCTTTGCTGGATTCTGTATTGGAACCCAAATCTCCATGTTCCACGTGATCTGCCTCTACTGCACTCAGTTCTACATCGCTGAAATAAACTATTGTACTCCTAATTAAATGACGAAAAAAGTGTTCTCAATACACGACAAAGTAAGAGTCACTTGAATATTCTGAATGAATGCGAACCTGCAAATTTCGTCATTATGTTGCAACTGCCTTAGCAGCATTCCAATGTTGTTAAGTTTTAGTGGAGTTGGAGTCATTCTATTATTGACCGAAGTCTGCGACGAAGTCGGACTCAACTCAACACTTGCACCTGATATGGCTTCCACATAACGTGCGCCATACCGTCCCATCGCTTCAAAAAAAATTTGAGGAATTTTCTTTCAAAAAATAGCACGTCAACGTAAGTTCTAATGGTATGACGACAATAAAAACAACTAATGATATTGAGAGACATCTAAAGTTTATTGAAGCGTTTATAAGTCCTTTATCACCAAATCCTAGATGCGTATTCCTAACAAATAATATTAAAAATGCATGGTAAAAAATACAGCAAAATAGTATTAAGCACAATTATATTCTCTCATATTTATATCATACTAATAAAAACTAACCAATTTCAGAATCAGTTGCATAACCGCTTCGGTTTCGTTCACAACGAGTTGGAAGCGCTACAGATGAACAACGCATTGTCGGTGATGAACCCAACATTTCCGAACACGTCTCATGATACAATGCACCATCGCAATAATAGCTGTGGTTAGCAGGTGCCTCTCTTTTCAATACGGTTGTTGCTATACCTGAAAGTCGATAATGAAATATGAATCACGCATATAACAGTGAGATTGTTATCCATACTTGAATGAATTCATAATCGATATCTCAAAAAATTTTACCATTCAGCATTGTTGTAACAATTTCCTCTTTTGGATCATATTCCACACAGTTTCTGCTTACTGGTAAAGCCCCATTATTTTCATGACCTGTACTTCCAGATTCACGTGACTTCACAGATGCACTATCTCGTTCATCACTTGCCTCATTGATCCTTTGTAACGCATCATAAACATGCTTATCTTTTTTTCTTTTCCTTTTTTCCTCACTGAAAATTGTGTTATTATAGAAAACACGAACACATCTCCTTATGCCCAGGAAATGAAAATAGAAAAGGAAGCTTACCGATAACTTGGCATACTACCAAATTTTATCGCTCGTTGCGTATTTTCTGGAAGACTCTCGTTCAGCTTCTCATCTGCTGGTGAAGAAAATTCAATCTCACTTTGTCGCCTATAAAAGAAAAATAGCGAAGGAAATTTTTCGATCAATAAACAGCAAAGATAACCTCTCGAGAAAGAACTTACCGGTAGCAAAATAGGAGGCAAATTAAAAGCAACAGAAGCAATATGCCAACAATAAGAAGAATAATAAGCAGAGTTGTGGTATTCAACGTATGGTCTCCTAAAATCAAAACATGACTTAAGGAATATCAATTGAAATAAAATTTACTGTTGTTTGAAAAAAATTCACTAAAGTGGAAAACAGAGTATACTAATTATTCAACCGGCCAATGGGTTTTAGAGATGCACTAAAATAGGACAAAAATACGAAAATTGCAATAAATGATTACTGACTCCTAGTTGACAAATTTAGAAAGAAAATTCCTTTCCCGTGACACTGTAGTTGTCACAATTATTAGTTACAATGAAACAGAACTTGGTATTTGAGGAAAGAAATTGGAAAATTTACTGCAGTAAACGAACAGAAAAATATAAGAGAGGATTAAATTAATTCCCAATGAAACAAATCGCACTAGCATCTCATAAGCATCACCTAAATTACACAACAAAAAAAATGAAATGATTTGCCTGTAAATGATGGGATGAAGATATCACTAAAATGAGAAACATCTAATGGTGCAACAGTTGTGGGATGAGAAATATTTGTTTTGGTGTCACAAGCTGTACCCATCCAACCGTTATAACAGAGACACCGTCGTGTAGTCGTACAATCCTAAGATAGTGAAAATCAATTTTTCTAGGTTATAGCTAATCGGAAAAAAAACGGATGATACTACTCAAAAAGTGAATTAGGAAATTTGAATTATTTTTTGCCAAATAAAACCAGTTTAAGTAGAAAAAATCTACCCCATGTCCCGAACACTGGTAAGCAAGATTATTGCTTGGACAGTGCACAGGTGGTGAGACCTGAACAAGAGGTGAACAAATTCCTTGAACACAAACTTTTCCAGAACCGCAACTGCTACCATCCATAACCACACCAACATCAAGATTTGTAACCATTCTAAACGAATATTTTCTTAATATCAAAAATTGATAGTTTTTGATCATTAATCTTATGTATTACAAACAACACTTTTTTTTGAAAAAGGCTCCTTTGCCTGAAGTCTTTTTCGCCGTTATTGATTTAAATAAAACTGAATGGTGTGGAATAAAGAAAAAAATAAGCACATATTTTTTTAAATATCATTTGCACAAAGATTGAATAAAGGATAGCAATAAAGGACTAGTAATGGTCAATTCAATCCGAACGGATTTTCAAAATTTATAAAAAATTGAAAATATCATTTAAATTGCACACGATACATACTTGCACTGTATTTGTTTGGTTTCATGTAGGAATTGAAGATTAAATGAATTAAGCTTTAAATCCAAGGGGGTTTGAAAACCTCCCCGACAATGCAATGTCCCACAATGTACATTTTCCACTGCACATTTCTTATACATCTTATCGCGATCTATGCCACAGTTTCCATATTCCACACCAAGTCCATTACGTTCATAACAGTGTTCATCCGCCGTTGCTGCATCTGAAAAAGCTCACCTTTTTGGGACTTTTGCATTAGTTCAATAATTTTTCAACTCTAGACAGTGTTTGATTACATGGACTAGTTTTCCGGATCATAACGACAATTTTTTTCATGAGAACAGTGAAAGATCTCATTCAATAGGCAAGTTACAGTGAATGTAAAAAAAGTAATAGTGATTTAATTTTTTTAAAATTCATTTAGGTATTTCAATTCACTTAACATGCTTGCTGCAATTTTCTTTCTCATTTTTTCTTTTAAGAAAAGAACTTACCTGGACCCCAAAGATCGCGACATTGCTGTTCAACATCTGAACAGTTTCCTTTCCAACATTGCCCGCTAATGCCGCATATAGTACCATCAATTAGGTATCCATCATCTGGACAATCACCATCATCTCCGGTACACACTTCCGCAACATCGCATACAGATCTTGCCGGTCTACATACATGTCCCATTGGCCGCAGCTATAATATACTTATCAAATTTTTTTTCTAAAACTACAGAAAATGTTCGACGAATTTCGGAATTTAGCAACATATGAAAGTATTACAACGAATCGACAATTTGCGCAGCAAATCTGTGCGCGGTTGCACGACTTCATTTTGAACACAACTCCATATTCACGCTTCCTTGAAGAAGCTTCTGGTGCCAGGTTGAACCAGCTGCTTAATGCATGTGTTTGTTTAATAGTTGATAAAATGAAAATAAGAAAATTTTGGAAAAACTATCACAAGGAAAGCTCACTTGGCAACGATGACAACATGCCTGATGAGAGGCACAGTGAGCATGAGCGCGAAGAGTACATGTTAGTGGATCACAGCATGGATCGAGGCACTGATCCCGCATTCCGCAGTCACACTCCTCCTCACCATCAACAATACCATTACCACACTGCTGCAGTGTTGATGCCTGCAAAAATGATTAGAAATATTTCTATTTAAAAATTAAAAAAATACTAGGAACTTTTTAAATGTAAAAAAAGCAACGGAATTTCGTGATAAAACAAAATAAGCCAGGAAAAAAACAAACAAAAATTGTCAGCGATTTTACTCAATTTTATCCTTGTCTCTTTTCTTTTCTCTTAACTCTAAATCTGCATGTTGTTCGAAATTTTTCAGATATCCCGTTTAAAACTAGTCAACAAACTACTGACATTATCATTGATAGGTTCAGCCATCCAAGTTCTTCTCTCATGTATTATGCCCCTCTGCCAGGAGTGACGGGTAGCGTAGTCAGCAGAAGAGTGACCTATTTTAACAAAATGCAGCAATGAGTGAAGTAACTTAAAGTTTTAAAAATCATAATAAGAAGATGCTCGTAATTATAGCTGCCACAATTTTGCAATATCCTGCAATAAAGCAATAAATGCCTACTTGCAATGGCTTATTCAACAAGCATTGCAAATGTCCGGATTGTAATACGCTATGCATTCTAGCTATACTGCATTTTGAGAACTGCCATAAAAACGGTGACCCAATATTCCTGAAAATAGCCCCAAATCAACAATTGCTTATATTGTGTTATAAAAAATAAGAGAAGTGGATTTTCAGAATATCTTTTCTACCTCACCCATATTTATCATATTATTTACTTTTCCAAAATTCATATTCGTTCTATTTATTGTTGACTAAGCCTATTGCATTCAGCGTTCATCAAACATTGCAAATATTTTCATTGTGCTGTTCTTCATGAGCAATCCTAAGCAATCTGATACGTACTACTTCATTTTCTTCCAGCACCGCTGTACCATTTACATTAGCTGCCTTCGATCCAATAGTCTACTTGCGGTATTTTCATAAGATGTCCCCTACAATTGAAGACCCTCCTTGAACTTGGCTTTATCTTTCTCATTTCAAATCTTTCCCTTTAGAAGATTTGAATCTACTATCTCGCAATTCAAATTAGTATTTTTACAACAACGGAAATGCTTCGTTTCATGACGATTCAGCCACTAATCAACAATGCTTGAAGGCTGTCAGACAACAGCAGTGAGCTGTCACAGTCTGATGGATCATCCTTTATGATACATAAAACAGCATTGAAGACTTCCTTATCTGATTGAAGCAATCCCCTTGGGATGGAGGGTATATCCATACACTCAATTTGTAATGGTCTCTAAAACGGATGGACACATTTATACACCCATCATAAATTATGCATATGCAGATTTATCAACATCTTCAAATTCTAATTTTTGCTCCTCAAATGGGATGCATATTGAGTCATCAATTGAAAGATTTTATCAGCTAGAGAAGACTTTTTTTCAAACCTATTCTTATTATCCAAAATTTGGAGTACTGTAGAGGGAAAAGAATGAGGTATGCGTGAAAAGTTTTATGCAGTAAGCAGATAACAGGTTTGAGAATTTGGATAAGCTTCAAGCATAATTTTCGTTGTTAATCAATCAAAAAGAAGATACTAGCTAATTAGCTACTACAGCCAAACTTACCCTGCTTGCTTATGCATAATGCAGTTGTTGATGAAATCGCACGCGCAATCTGGAGAATCATGATCCATCCCCATAATGTGAGCCAGATTATGAGCAATTAACTGACCCGTATCATGCGCTGTGTACGTATCCACAGCCTTAAGTTAACTTGAGTAACTCTGTTACTTGGTAGTAGCCAAACTTTCTATAAAGTAACAAAAAAATAATAAAACTAGGAATTATGATTAGATGTAGTTTCAATTCGAAATTCAGCTTTAGAAATCTCACCATAACCAAACCGGTAGCACGCGGTGAACAAATGCTTCCAGAAGTGCTCGTCATTACTTCGTCTTTGACAAATTTTGCTGATGTGAACATCAAGGAAGTATCTTTGACTAAAACTAATGAACGCTCAACGCATAACAATATTATAGTCAATTTTTAAAAAAATCATTTACAAAAGGGACAAATTAAGTCACAATTTAGACTTAATTTTGAAGAGTTATTTAGATTTAAGATATTTAGATATTATTCAGATCTAAGGTCGAATCAGAATTGGAAAGTTTTTGTCCCAGAAAGAATTACTACTAACCAATATGATAAATATGATCAGTGACATACACCACGGCACTGCTTAATGTTCTCTCGATATCTTCATGATAATCAATTCGTGATTTATCCATCCATTCTTCCAAATAAACAATACTCAATCGAATATTTAAATCACGTGAAAACATCTGTAAGAAGCAATGGAGACATAAATAAATTAAAGGTAGGATATCTCTAAATAGGATATTTGCAAAATTAGGCAAAAAGGAATTGAAATGTTCAGAATCGGGTATTGATAAAAAATACAACAACTGACTAAAATAAAAAATGTAAGACAGAGATAAAAGGAATTAGAAGGTTTGTGGCATCCTCTTTTTTGTTAATCCCCAAACCATAGACGAATCTAGAAGTGGAAATAAGAATTTCAAAATCCGTGACTTCAAAGACTGATTTCAAATGCTTTGTAATGATCAAGAAAATGAATAAATTAGCAGTGTGGGTTTAAAAAAACACAAAAAATGGAAAACAACAATTAACTCCGAAGTACTAAAGGAAATACAGCCGCAATTCTTTATAAAAAATGTACGNGAAAAAAAAAAAAAAAAAAAAACGTAATCGAAGGGATGAAAAAGAAAGAAGCAAAGAGGGATGAAAAGAGTCTGCTTTTAAGATGCCGTTTTAAATTAGTCGGAAGGATGACTGAACGATAACTAGTCATTTTCTCTTAAACATATGCCAATGTTGTACGATTTGTCCTATAAACTGATTTTTTCTTTTTTTTTTTTTTTTTTGCATATAATCGTATAATAATAATGGTAGTAATAAAAATAATGGATATAGTAATAATAACTATAATAATAACTTATGTTGAAAAAATACACGACAAAAGGCTGAAATAGTGATGAATGTTTTAAATTTATCAAATAGTGAGGTGCACAGTTCGCGCATTTTGGAGTATTAGTTTATATGTAGTAGAATCCAAGGCCAAGACATCTTTTTAATACTATATCGTTATTAAACGGAAAATTTTTGCTAGTGTTATAATAACTGAATAACATTAACAACTAACATCGAAAGGTCTAAAACAGAATAACCAACAGAATTGCATAAAATTGATTTTGAATTTTACTATTAATAGCATAAAATTGGCAAATACAGTTGTTATTCATCTGTCATGATAATCATTAAATATTTAATTTGAAGAAGACATTAATTAGATATTATTTAATAATCCTCATATCTAAGGGAGATCAGCGGGTTTACTTCCCACTGATGTCCGACCTGTTATTTTGGAAATATAAAAAAAAACACTTCCTTATCTTTTAACATAGAGTCAGCACTTCATGCCATGCAAATGCTGAGAGAAGTTTTTTGAATGTATATTAATTTCGATGCCAAAATT